ATGAGGAAATTCCTGAAATAATGCTGGTATCTCACTCTAGACTTTACTAATCTAGACTAAATCCAAAAAGCCACAAAAACAATAAAGGTGGAAAGTTATTAAGATTTGGTGTCTTGACTGTTTGTAAAAAGAGGCTTACTAAATTTTAAACTAGGAGAGACTGAATCAACACAATTACTTTCCTTAATTTGTAGCTCAAGTTCAGCCTAAAAATGTTTGTGGGTTTTGGGCTCCTTTCTTTTTTTAATAGACTCATAAACCTGGACGAATCACTGACATGTCTAAGTAGTTTACTTTAATTTTACTTTACGATGTATCCTATCACCTAAAGTGAGGAAAATAAGTATTTTCTATTCTACTAGTTTACCCACTTAGAAATCATGGTGGGGGTCATCATATGCGCATGTCAACTGTTAGAGACAATCTAAAAAAAAAAAAATCCAGCAATCATAATGTATGATTTTTTAACTATTTATTTGTCTAATACAGCTTCGAATGAACACCAGAAAAATCAATGTTAATATTTGTTACAATTACAGAGGTCAAACGTTTCCTGTAGTTTTTCAGCAGGAGTGATTTTGGCCCACTCCGCCAGACAGGTCTTCTCTAGATCAGTCAGGTTTCTGGGCTGTTACTGAGAAACACAGAGTTTGAGCTCCTTCCAAAGATTCTCTATTGGGTTTAGGTCTGGAGACTGTCTAAGCCATGCCAGAAACTTGTTATGCTTCTTCCAGAGCCACTCATTGGTTATCCTGGCTGTGTGCTTCAGATCATTGTCATACTGGAAGACCTAACCTCGACCATCTTCAATACTCTAACTGAAAGAAGAAGGTCGTTTGCCAGGTCCCGTTTGCAGAAAAACACCCCAAAGCATGATGCTACCACCCCCATGCCTCACAGTATTGATGGTGTTCTTGAGATGGTGCTGATCATTCTTCTGCCTTCAAACACGTTTAGTGGAATTACACCATGACTTTCTCCCCTGACTCCTCTGGATCATCCAAATGGTCGTTGAGAAACTTAAGACGGGCCTTGACATGTGCCATCTCTTTTCAGGTCATTGACCAGCTCCTCCTGTGTAGTTCTGGGCTGATTTATCACCTTACTTAGGATCATTGAGACCCCATGAGGTGAGATGCTGCATGGAGCCCCAGTCTGAGGGAGACTGACAGTCATGTTTAGCTTTATCCATTTTCTAATGATTGCTCCAACAGTGGAACTTTTTTTCACCAAGCTGCTTGCCATTTTCCCTATAGACCTTTCCAGCCTTGTAGAGCTCTACAGTTCTGTCTCTAGTGTCTTTGGACAGCTCTTTGGTCTTGGCCATGTTAGTAGGTGGATTCTTATTTATTGTATGGGGTTATGCAGCTAACAACCTCAAACAGGTGCATATAATTTAGGATAATAAAGTAGTGGAGATGGAAATTTTGAAGGCAGAGTAATAGGTGTTTGAGGGTCAGAATTCTAGTAGATGGGTGTTCAAATACTTATTTGCAGCTGTATCATACAAAGAAATAGTTTTTAAAAATCATACATTGTGATTTCTAGACTTTTTTTAGATTATGTCTCTCACAGTGGACATACACCTAAAATGACAATTTCAGACCCCTCCATGAATTCTAAGTGGGAGAACTTGCAAAATAGCAGGGTTTTCAAATATGTGTTTTCCTCACTGTATATGCAGATGACATTAAGCAGTACTGTCCTCTTTTACATCTAAATTGTTGCTTTTTTTTAATTCTGATGTTAAACTTTTTTTTCTTCCTGCTTTTTAACCTATCATAGTAGGTACATCTGGCCTTGCACTCTGGTATCAATGACACTGTGATGGAGGAAGGCACAAGCTGGGGATACTGTTGACAGCAACTTCATAGAATTGATAATACAGTTGCCCCTGTTCTTCATTATTTAGTCCCATCTATCTGCTAGACCTGCAGCTGTAAATTCTGTTAAGTCAATAACTTGATGTAAAGTACTGGGTTTCCCTACATGTAAAACTTTTAACCAATCTGTCCAAATGATTTGGTTGAATTGACTCTGTAAATTGCCCTGAGATAACATGCGCTGTTAAGTGACACTATAAATAATCAGAATTTAAGGTAAATCTTCAGACCATCCCAGAGCCTTTACAGAGACACATTATGTCTGCATACATGGAAAAAGACTAAGACTTTGGTTTTAAAAAAACAAGAAAAAACATGATCAAATTATACATAAGTATAATAATTATAATGTGGTTCTAACATTAAAAAATGGGGAAAAAGTTGAAGTTATTGATGAAATTATTTTGCAAGGGAGCATACGAAAAAGGTATAATGCAAACTATAGAGCAATACAGTTAATCTTTCCCTTAAGGCCAAACTGATCTGCAGAACTGTAAGAAGCAGATTTTCTTCATTTGTCGCATCTGATGCTATCGAAATTTAGTTCAAATTTACATGATAGGCTGGGTGTCAATCTCATCAAAACATAAAGTATGAGCTGAAGAAAACGTTTCTTTTTTACTTAGTGAGGATATTATGTCACTTGTAAGTAACCTTTAATATTCCAGTAATTTCACTTTTTCCTCATTTCTAGGAAAAAGGAACACCATCACAGCTTTTGCCCCAGACACCTTACATAATATGCGTTTGAGTTTTTGCTGTAGTATCATGGTTTATACACGTGGGTAATCAGTATAAATATAACCATTTGACACACATCTGCTGCCGATGTCCTCTGCTTTAGACATCTTACTCACATGATATTTACAGCAGTGAGAATTTACAGAATCTCGCAAGTTTTCCATCACATTACTCTCCTTTTTGTGCAAGGCTACCACTACAAGGTGAGTAAGCTGATCGACTTAAATAACATAAATGAGTTACATGTATTCATACAAGGTTTATCTTCAGAACTTGCAGTGCATCCTTCTCATAAAGGGACCTGTTTGGGATCCCAAGACTGACTGGACAGCTGAGAGAAACGAAGACAAGTAGGTTCTATTTTATTTTATTTTTTTTTGTCAAATAGAAGTTTAAAAATATCTTCATCACTAAAATCTTACTATTAAAAGTAACACAAATGAAGTCCTTGCTGCTGTAAACATCAGAATTAAGAGGAAATGTCATTTTAGATAGAAAGAATGAAAGGAAGGGGAGAAATTATAGACTTTATTTGCTAGTTAGAGAAATAGAAAGTGACAAGAAAGTAACATTTTAAAACATTTCCCATCCAGTTTCTAAATGAGAAAAAAAATAAAAAGCAAGCCAAAGGGATCAAATTCATTGTTTTATGAAGCAAAGGTATTTAAACTGTGTAATTTTGATGAAAAGGAAAAGATAAAACCAGATTAAAATAAATCAGAGAATGAGGGCAAATAATGAGTTAAAATCATTTGCACAAATCATTTGCACAATTTTATTTTATTATATAGTCCTATTTTATTTGTTATATTTCTAGTTAAAAGCAGATTTACTGTCTTATCACTGGACTACATATTTGAATCTGCATCAAATGCATTCGGTGAAAACAGAATTCCCTCTGTTCACAAACGGTTAATCTATGCAACTGATTACATTCAACTAGACTTACCCCAGATTTAAGCGAAATTGCTTTATTTTTGTAAAAAGACCTAAGGTATTTAACTTAAGACCACTACTATCTGAGGCAGGCACATTAACAAATGCTCTAGTGTAAAAACTAACTAAATACAACAGAACAGCTCAACATTCAAGGCTAAATGGACATGTTTCTTCAGGAGAACATCTGAAAACAGATAAGCACTTTTAAAGTAAAGAAATATTGGCAGTATGTTCTGGTTAGCAACTTTTGAAAATTTCACTCAAATAAAAACTCAGAAATGCATACAAATTCTTTATCTTTTAAGGTAAAGCTCATCCAACCATCTTTAAACTATGGATGAAAGAATCTATTAAGAATCTACTACAAAGTTCTGTTTCAGTTTCCTGGATTATATTTTAAAACCGATATACATACTTGCTTAACTAGTTAATCTAAGTTCCCAGGTAGAGAGTTGATATTGTACTCCTGCACATACAACGGCAACCTAGTTAAACATGTGGGGGAAAAAATATAATAATCAGGTTTTATAGAAGAAGCCAAACCTCACACTGAAAATGTAGCAAGATCCAACCTTGTATTTGTCTAAATTTGTTTCAGTGTTTTAATATTCTTAAGAAATACTCTTTTGAAACAAAATCACCAGTGGTACAGTTATTGGCATCCCATCACTTCTCCTATAAGTAATGAGGAAGTGATGGGAGAAGACCTATTTGACCATTTCTGTTCTATCTCCGGATCTTCCGTTTTTCTCTCTTAGCTTTATCTCAGATAAAGGCTAATAATGTTTAAAGGCTATTAATTCTTAATTCTGAATATTCTTTTGTTAACGAAAAGACAAACTTTTAGTTATCTAACAAGGGCAACAGACTTTAAAATAAAGAATCTGCCAGTAAGAGTATTTCACATAGTTCATGAAGAACTGCAGCCTAATATGCTTCAAAGGGCCTTTTGCCTCACAGTTCCTCAGTTTCCTCAAATTAGCAAGGAAACATATCAGTTAAAGTTGTAAAATTGTTAAGATTGTAAAAGTCTCACGTAAAGGAGGCTATCTTAGCTATAGTAGGTCTATATATCCTAAACTCACTTTTTATAACATAGGTTTAATAGGTTGGCCGTTTTGATGCTGTTTAGTATCTTATTAGTAACTTTAGTGAGAGTATTTGATTTAGAAGGGTCTTATTGAGATTAATGGACCACTCAGCTTAATTTCAGCAAAGGCAGTCCTTACAGTTATGTTAGAATTAAAACTATCACTGAGACCCGGTTTTAGAACATTTAATCTCTGGAGATTTCACTTTTATTTAAAATTGATTACCAGGTTATCTTTTAAAAGAAAAGGGGATTGTCGAAGATTATTCAGAACGATGGGCTGCGGAGGTGGAGAGAGGGTTTCTTAATTGGAGTCACAGCTTGTTCATTACTTGAAAAAAAATCCCCTGTTTTTTCAGTCCAGCCGAGTTTTTCTCCCAGTAAGTGGTCTCCCACTCAAGCAGCCGGCCACATCTTGGACAAATTCCTTCACAAAGGTAAGATTATTTTGTTCGAGAATTATATTCTCCAATGTTCATAAATCTAGCTGTACTTATAAAGTATTTTTTTAAATGGATCATACAAGGAAGTTACCAATTGTTCTGATGTGGTGTTTCTTTCTCACTGATTTCCTGAAGAAACCAACTAGTTAACCTCAGCTAGCTGAAGCTGCATGTGAGCTAATTTAATTTTGGGGATGCACATTTCTTACTTGAAATAAACTATATTTACACAAGTTAAAGAAAATGTATCCATTTTTGATTAGTGTGAATAAAACAATTTTATATTTTTCCTGGCCTGATAATGAAAAAAAACTGTTGTTTTTTGCGGTTTTTTGTAATTGATTTTGTATTTTTTGCACATTTTTCCTTGTAAATTCATTTAACCCATATACGTTCCTGGCAATCACAAAACAAGTTGTTTCTAAACCATGTCCTTCAGATTGTCTGTCAAAGCTGGACAAACCACTGATTGCCAGCATTGTGTGGATGATTTGAACAAACCATGTCAAATCCAATTTTCATCTGGTTTCCTTGGTGACCAGCAAGCTTTAGTTTTTTTTGAAAGGGCGTAACTGCTTTCACGTGAAAGCAGACGGGCCTTGTTACCAGACATTACGGAGAGAGCTGCTCACTTGACCAATGACCAATCAGAAAAATGTGAAATCTGGATGCATTCCATTCATCTCCACCAATTTCTCACACAAAGAGACTTGTGTTTTCTTTTTTTAAGAATTAATGACTTAACAGACTTACTGGCCATTGGAGGTCATGTGAAGGAAACGTATGTTATAGTGTATTTAATATAGTTTCATTGTAAAAAAAAAAAAATTGACTGTGTGGGTCTTCCTATTTGGTCTTCTGCATGAGAACTTTTTTTTCTTATTTTACCAGCAAAGTGAGGTCTATTCGGACATTTTCCTAATTCTCGTGAGCTATTTTTCAAAAGGTCAGATTTAGGGCTCAGGTCTAAACTGAGTTTAGTTTAAGGTTAGGGTGAGGTATGCATTGGTAATGCTTAGGTCTAGGATTATTGTCAGTGTTAGGGCATAGAAAGGGTTTAAAATTACTGAATATCAATAGAAGACATTGGGAGTCAATGCAAGGGCCTTACTACATATAGCAAGACAAGAACGTTTGGGTGTGAGGCGATGTTTTTGCAGGTTTTGTAGGGACAGCTTTCCAGGAACATGCTGTATTTTGGGGACTTATAGGTATACGTACCAAGGACTAGGGGGTTAAGTTTAGGACTAAGGTGTGAAATGAGTTTAGGTTGGGTTTAGGGTTAAGTGTGTATTGGTAATGGTTATGGTTAGGGTCAATGTTAGGCCATTGAAATGAATGGGAGATGAATGGAAGTAAATGGAACCTCCCAACAAGGATGTGTGTATTTCATACCTTGTGGGGCCCATTTTCCAACCATCTTCTCATTCTCTGGCCTAATGCCTAATACCCCATGAAGAAAAATGTTGTTTTAGGGTCAGGGGTCATGTTTAGGACTAAGGTGAGAATTAAGTTTGGGTTGGGTTTAGGGTTAAGTATATGTTGGTAATGGTTAGGGTAGGGGTCAGGGTTAAGACATAGAAATGAATGGGAGATGAATGGAAGTAAATGGAAAGTCCCCACAAGGATAGAGTTATACAGCCTGTGAGTGTGTGTGTGTTCCTATATTTCATACATTGTTTTCTTGAAAAATATAACATTGTGAGGACCATCTGCTCCTTGTGAGGACTGAGCCCTGGACCCCATCAGGGGCATTGCCGTATTAGGGTAAGGGGTTATGTATGGAGTAAAGTGTGAATTGGGTTAAGGTCAGGTTTAGGGTTAGGTGGGTGTGCGTGTGTGTATAAAGAAGAACTGTCACATGAATCAGAGATCCGAGGAAGAGCTTGTAAGTGAGAGCTGAGTATTTTTGGGAACAAGACATTAAGCTAATGCATCTCTCATGATGCTAAATAAGTCCGCCTTTTTTAAGGTGTACTTCTTGAATAATTGAATAACTTGTATTAAAATATATAGTGTACGTATAGCTGCTTTGTAGTAACAATTATTTTTGCTGTGATATTTTCTCCAATAATGTCATCAATTCTTTTGTTCCCCTATCAAGGCCCCTCGATTTTTACAGGATGACACTCGTTGACTACCCACTTCCACAGTTGGACACTACACTGCAAGAAGTGAGCCGTGTTCTCCAGCTTACTCTGAGTCCAGATCTTTACCCCGAGTTCAAGAGCACCCTGGAAAAGCAGAGGAATGCTCTTGAAGAGGCCCAAAAAAAAATAGAGGCCCTTGCAGCAGGCCAAGAGAACTGGGTGACTCGGCAGTTCAAGAAAGGTTTGTTGTCTTGTGCTGATCCCCTGCCTACTTCAACGGCCCTGCCGGTTGTTCTTCTCCCATCTAAAGCAAAGGGATGCTCTCAGCTTGCAAGGGCAGCTGCTCTGCTCTGGGCAGCAGCAAAGTTGTACAGCGAACCCCTCCTATTGGAGGGTGATGTTCCTCTGGAGGACACTCAGCAGTCTGAAGTGTTTGCTGCCAGCCGTATTCCTGGCAAAAGCCAAGATGAAATTAAGGTGAGATTAACTTGGTGATGGTCCAAATTTTTAAAAATTCTAAAAGACCATACAGTGTGTTAGAGTGAGACTGAATTTTTTACTGTTTCTATTAAACTTCTCTGCACGACAGGTCTACCCAGATAGCCTCCATGCAATCATCACCTGCGCAGGTGGAGCATTTCCTGTTGATATACTGTGGCGTCCCAGCACTGGTGGACAAGTTTCTGCACGGTCCTTTCTGGACATCTACAAACAACTGGCTCAGGTGATGGATCTGCCCAGAGCTGGGAAACAAAATGATCCCTCTGTCGTTTGCAGCCTGTCAACTCTGGAGCGCAAATCCTGGGCTGCTCTCAGGGAAGAGATTCTCAAGCAAGAAGGAGATGGGCATAAATCACTTGAGCTCATGGAGAGTGCCATCCTTATACTCTGCCTAGAGGACAGCAACGCACCCACTGAAATGGCTGATATCCTCAATGCAGTTAGACTAGGAGGAGGAGGAGACTCTCCACGTCTGAGATATTATGATAAGGTATAACTAAACTGCTTTTTAATGATGAATTTAATATTAAGAAGACTAATTAAAGATTCCCATCATTTTCATCTATGCTAAACTTGTTTTACATATCTGCTAAGCATCCCTATGATGAAAAAAAGACATAATTGGCTCTCATTAGATTATGAACACTGGGGTTTCCACTTACAAGCAAACTACTGAACTTTCAATTTAAAACAATAGCCATTTCTTGAAAAGAAGTGAACTTGATATTTGAACTGATTTTCTTTTGCAGGTCCTGAACCTTGTTGTGTTTAAGGACAGCACAGCTGGGATGGTGTTCGAGCACAGTGCAGTGGATGGAATGGTAGCCTCTCTTGTGACTGAACGTGTGTACCATCTGTCTGAGACTGTTGACATAAATCTTGTCAATAATGACTTAGGAAAAATGGTCAAACCTGATACACTAAATACTGTTCATTCTGCATGTCCAAAAGGCTTAACCTTCCCTTTTGAAGGGATAACTAAGCTCCAACAGAACCCTGTACTGACAGCGGACAATCTAGTCCTAACGTTTGATCTCCCCTCTTATCCTGATGTATTTTCTACACTGAGAGGGCAAAGGGGCCTATATGATGCTTGGGTCAACTTCTCCTTGCAACTCTCCCTTTGGCAGACTCTTGGAGAGTCTGCATCTAAACACATGCTTGTCACACCTACACATATGCGGCACTACAAACATGGTCGTTGTGATCCTACTTACTCACTCACAGTGCATTCCCGCAAGTTAGTTAATACCTTGGCCTCTCACATTAGTCCCGATAACACCATCCGCTACTCAAATGACTTACTTCAGCTGTTCCATTTAGCATTTTTGGAGCACAAAAACCTAATCAGAAACACCAAAACTGGCCAAGGTGTTGGTCCCCACCTGGCTGCTCTGCGTCGGTCCCTACCACCTGATAATCCACTGAGGAAATTCCTAAATCCTTTTGGATGTCCATCTGTATACCTCACAGGTTCAGATATGATGGAGGGTGTTGAGTGTGGAGTAGGTAATGTTTATGCTCAAGACCAACTTGCTGTAACCTACCTTGGGAAGAAAGACAAAGTGAGACTTGTGCTCAATGGAAAGGGGTCTTTTGCTGTTGCTCTGAAGAGGCTTCAAGAAAACCTCAAGTTGAACTTGAAATTGATGATGCTTTTAGCTGTCAGGTATGCCATCACCAGCCAAATGGGAGCATTGGATTCTCTGTTCAAACAGCAGCAAACAGAGCAGATGCTTCAGTGCCCAGAGAATCTAGACAAGGGTAAAGGTGCTCCTGACTCAGGATCTGGCAAGAGCTCTGACTACATTCTTGTGATTCATGGTGGTGCTGGGGAGGATATTAAGCTGAATACAAAAGTGACAGAGATGATTGAGTTTGCACTAGAAACAGCCTTAGCCCTTGGGGCCCAAATTCTTGAACAGGGTGGGAGTAGTCTGGATGCTGTTCAGAGATCTGTGGAGGCTTTGGAAGACTGCTTTCTATTTAATGCAGGTAGAGGTTCTGTTTTTAACAAAGATGGCAAAAATGAAATGGAAGCGACCATTGTAGATGGAAGTAGAATGACATCAGGATCTGTTGCATGTTTGAAAACTGTAAAAAACCCTATCAAAGCAGCCAGATGTGTGATGGAGAAGAGTTCGCATTCACTGATTGTTGGAGAGGGAGCTGAAGAGTTTCTGCAAGGGATGGGGGACAAAACAAAGCCAGTTGGACAAGATTATTTTTACACTGATACGCGTTACAAAGAGTTAATGGCAAAACTCAGTGATGGAAATACCTCAAAAAACAATCACCCTCAAACTGTTGGAGCTGTGGCCTTAGATCGTTTGAACACATTAGCAGCTGCAACCTCCACAGGTGGGTTGGTTGGAAAACTGAAAGGACGAGTAGGGGACACTGCAATAGTAGGAGCAGGAATATATGCAGATGACAAGGTAGCAATTACATGTTCTGGAGATGGAGATGTCTTTTTAAGGACCAGTGTAGCAGAGAAAATTGCCAGTCTATACCACAACAAAGGCTATGGCCTTAGACAGGCCTGCAGGGAAGTGATATCCCAAAATCTGAAAGATGTGTCTGCTGGTATCATTGCTGTAGACAAAAAGGGTGATGCTGTCATTGAAACAAATGCTGGGGTGATGTTTGTGGCCTCAATGAATGGAGGCATTTCAAGAGTAGAAGTTCTAAGGCCTATTAAGAGTTTCACCAATGTGATCTGGGAAACGGATGAGCTGGTTGCCTACCTGAACCCCAACCCTTGGACCCCCGGGTCAGTCATTATCACTAGGAAGACTCTAAGTGGGCCTACTAGCATCTTTCAGTTGCCAACACCTGATTTCGTTGCCATGCTACAAGCTGCAAAAACTGTATCAAACTTGTTATGTGAGCGACTAGGAGTACAACGCTGTGCTTTGATTTTTTATCCAAATCCTTCTAAACCTGCACAGATTAAACTACTCCCACTCTATGGGTTACAGCCAAAGTGGCAGCCCCATCTTGCAGAAGAGGAGGAGTTTTACAGTCATGACACTGGTTTCTGTAACTCAAAAAGTGGCCCACGTTGGAATGATGAGGCACTGAACCAAGTTCAGGCCAAGATCAGAAGTGCACTGCCTACACCAAATGCACCATTTTGCTTTGACTACTTTGGTGACCCTTCCACTGATAATCTGTTTAGCCGTATTATACAAGGAGAGCAGCAACAGTGGAGAGTGTGGGAAGACAGTGAGCACGTGGCCTTTCTGACACCATATCCAAATAGGCCTGGTCTAACTGTGGTGGTGCCACGCAGGCCCCTGTCTAGTGACATCTTCAGACTGAACAATCTTCAATACAATGCTCTGATCTTTGCAACATATAAAGTGGCCAAACTGTTACAGGAAGGTATGAAGGCTCCAAGTGTTGCACTGATCTTTGAAGGGTTCGAGATCGATCATGCCCATGTCAAACTGGTCCCTCTGTTACCTCCACCAGATGGGACAAAAGCTGAAGAGCTGCAACCAGAATTCTTCCAAACCTACCCAGGATTTGTATCCTCCTTGGATGGCCCCATGGCTGATGCTGAGTCTCTCAAAGACATCCACTTAAAAATCACCCGATGCACACCTCCTCATTCATGGAAAGATCCTCAGGTTCATTCCACGCTGGCCATAAATAGCCAGTGGTACCGAAACCTGTTCCAAATTCAAAACACTTTGTTCCACAGCACAGTGGAGTATTTTCACAATTCCTGCCAGTTCTCCTACGCTTTGACCCCTCTCACCACAGACACCATATCTTCACCAATGGGCCTAGGATCTGACTCAGAGCCAGTGTCTGTCAGCCTGCTTGGGCAAGATGTGTACCTGGCTGATTCAATGCAGTTTGTCCTTGAATACTTCCTTCGCTTTCAGGAGAACCTTGCTGGAGCCTACTACATATCTCCTAGCTTTAGAGGGGAAGATCCAGATGCAACACACTTGAATCAGTTCTACCATGTCGAGTGCGAATTATTGGGGGACATGAACAAGGCCATTTCCATTGCAGAGGGATACTTGGTTCATGTTACCAAGTGTATGTTAAAACATCACTCAGACATGATCCAGAACTCAGCTGGAACCCTGACACATGTAACAGAATTCCTGAGCAAAATGGAAGGAGAAAATACTCTGCCAAGAATCCCTCTGGATCGAGCCATTTCCATGATGCATTCTGCAGACTGCTTAGAGTGGGTGCAAGATGGCCAGCCCCACTTTGGTAGGAAGTTAACTCGCAAAGGGGAGCGTGTCTTGATTGAGAAATTTGGTGGTGCTGTATGGCTTACTGAAATGGACCACCTGGGAGTTCCTTTCTACCAGGCATATGTGGAGGGCACGGGTCGGTGCAAAGCCAAAGCAGCTGATCTCTTGCTGGGGCTGGGTGAGACCATTGGTCTTGGTGAACGCCATTCCACCCCAGAGATGGTAAGAGAAGCCTTGAAGCACCATGCAGTAGCAGAAGAGTCCTACAAGTGGTACATCACAATGCGCAAAGTGATGCCACTCCTCACCAGTGGATGGGGCATGGGGACGGAGCGCTACCTGTGTTGGTTGCTTCAACATGATGATGTTAGAGATCTCCATATCATACCAAGGATGAAAGGAATAAAATACATGCCATGATCTTACAACTGCTGATATGTAGGGCAATAGATGTAATATATTTATGGTAGCCGGGCTAAACAAAACCATTAATTGGGGATTTTGAGCTCACAATTACATCAGGGATAAAAAAAAAAATGTTATCTATGATCATAATTTCTATTTTCTTTATGTTTCTCACCTTCTAATGACACACTGTAGTCTATTCTCCTGATTACTGAAGCCCTCAAATATTTCTAGAATTAAATATTACACTGAATAAAACTTTTTAAAAGTACCTATATTGAAGTTACACCAGATAAAGTTGTTTTTCTTACTGTTAAAATGTTGATTTAATATTTCATATGTTTACATATAACCTGCTTTTTGCATTGTGTTAGAAAAGATCATACAAAAATAAAACATCTAAGTAATCAGTCACGTAAGCAGGTTTAAAAAAATCATGTTTTTTTCCTATTCTTTTCTGCTCCTTAAATTTGTTTCATTTAAATGAAGTTCATGTGAATCATGTATTGTTATATCAAATAAATATTTGTCAAAGATCTGTGTGTCTTGCAACATTTTTTACCATTGTTCTACAGAAATTATGAAATTATAGTACATTCTCTAGTAACTAACTTTACAAATGTTGATTATAACTAATGTTAAAAAAAAACTCCTCTCTGGTGCAGCAGCTTTTCTACATACCTGCTCTGAATTATAAAGCTGTTCTGAAGCACATTGTTCAGTAAGCCCTGATTGGAGAAAAATGACTTCAGTGCATAAAAATGTCTTTCATGTTCCTTGGACCCACTTGCTGGTTAATACGGACCCAACCTGGTTTAAAACATTCATACTGTAAATTAGTGCATGTTCTCCGATGACAGTGTCTAAAGGTCACTTCTCCTGTTTGTATGGTAAAGCCATCTGGAGCGTCTAGCAGCAGGTTGCACGTGATACAAATTAGCCAATGAGCTGTGTCAGTCTGGGTCGCTGCTGTTAGCCACTTTTAGACACAGCAGGCAAACCTGTGGCAATGGGAAAGAAGAAGACGATGAGAAAAAGAGAGCAGAGAAAGTGTGGACTGCTGGGAAAAAGTGCGGTGAACTGGTGAAAGTAACATTCTCCACCATAAATATAATAAAAAATAAAAATTGATCCAGGCTCACGAATGAGCACCTAGATATAAGCTTGAGAATGGCTTTGTCGCCATTCAAACCCAGGTTTATAAATCGTCACAGGGCAGCCTAAAGCCCACTTCTCTCATTAAGCCATAAAAAAGGAAAGAGAGAAAAAAAGATAAATTCAGGTGTTTTATAAAAGATAAAAGACATGGAAGTCAGGAAATCGTCTATATACCGAACTGTGAAAGATTGTTTTGTTTTCTATTTTTTTAACTAAAAAACTCAGTGTATAACATGGATGCAGAAACACCCGCATTTTATTTCAGTGTTAAATGCTGTTTAAAGTAATGGATTATAATTAAAAATGTCTCTGAACCTTTACTTGTTGTTGATTTTCCTTTTTTTCCTCAGCATTTTTAATTAGTGACCCCTGGTTTAGGCCATGAGTCGCAGTTGGTACTGTATTTTGGGAAGGAAACCGAAAAGTGTGATTAATTCTTTTTTTTTATTTTTTTTTTTACATGAAATGAAAGTGTGATTTAACTGCATTCAGTATGAATTTGTGTATTACCATGTATTAGCCATTGCAAGAAATTAATTCCAAATTACTTAATTGGTATGTAAATAAAGTCGACAGTTGGTCATTTGATCTCAGTATGAATAAAGCTGTTCTATGAATGACATAAGTTAAATAACATAAATAAACCAACAACAATATGAACCCCAAAGAAAACAGCAAATATGTGAAGATAATTAAAGTAGGGTCAGTTTATAAAACAATTGCACTAGGACGCTTCATTGAAGATGTAACGGTTTAGTTGACCGGACCTTATTTATACCCCAACACATGGCAGATTTCAACATGATGTTGAGCTGTTTAAACACGACACCAATAGCAAAGCAGATAGTGGGACTTTTCGTTACTATGTTAATAACTGTGTATAGTTCATTAGACGGTTGGTAAAAAAATACACTCATAATATATTTTAAACCACAATAAATATCTTAAAAAAAACGATGTATTTGAGTATTTTATTTTTTTACACGACTTGGAATTATGTAGATATGGGGCCCACCCAGATAATGTTGCTTAGGGGCCTATTGTTGTGTCGTTACGCCATTGAAGGAGAGCATACCTTAGAAACAGCCAAGAGGCTTATACATAGGAGAAGTTGCAGAAATGTCAAAATCAGGTGAGAGAAAAACATTTAACATAACAGTTAAATTAAGTATTGTAAAATAAAATAAAAGATTTGTTACTGTGGCTCGTACTTCGGGGCCAATGCCACACTTTCTGAAAATAAATAGGAGAGATTTACGGAAGAGGATTAGGGCCACTGGGAAAAAAAAAAAAACTTGACTGATTTTTAAATTTTATTTCAGTTTAGTATGGGGAAAAAATGTCAGAATTCTGACTTTTTTCCCAGAATTCAGATTTTTTTCCCAGAATTCTGACTTTAATCTCAGAATTTTGACTTTTTTCTCAGAATTCTGACTTTTTTTTCTGAATTCTGACAGAATTCTGACAATAATAAGAGCCAGAATTCTGAGAAGAAGTCAGAATTCTGACTTTTTTCCCATACTAAAATGAAATAAAATTTAAAAATCGGTTAACTTTTTTTTTTTTAGTGGCCCTAATCCTCTTCCGTAGAGATTAGACCGACGTAAATATAATTCATTAAATGTCAAGCCTTTGGACTCCGTCGTAGATTGGTTGAGATAAGAGGGCGACATTTAAACCGGAAGTAGTATTTATCTTCTGACGTATTTCCTGTTGTGCTCACTGTATGTGACCCCCAGCTACAAGAGAGACAAGCCAGCTCTTCTACTCCTAATTTCTCAAACGTAGGTTGACGTTTGTTTTTAAATATTTGTTAACTTAGTTGTCACTGCGGTTAAATGTAGTTTCAGGCTGTTTCTGCTTGTGTTTAAACCAGGCTTAAATTAAGGTCAGCGCCACACGGCTACTTACTGCGCTAAGCTAATAAGCTAGTGGGGAGGTGTGTGACTTTCTGCTGGACCAGCCATTTTCTACTCTCTCTAACCACAGGGAGAATTACTCAGAGAATATCATCATTTTAGTAGGAGGGATTTCCTCACAACATGTTTGCGGAAGGAAGCATAAATACAACTGGTGTTAAAATGGTTTCCAGTGGTCTATGGGGCATGTTTTCCAACTAGTTAAAGATTTACTAATTTGAAGGAGGATCATGTGGACCTCTCCCTGTGGTTAGATGAGCTCTTCAAACTTTCTACTACATGTGGTTTTATGGGGATTTTTTTGTAACATTTCATCAACACATGCTGATTAGTTTAGCTTTAAATCTGTGTATTCAGAGGAGTTCAGACTTACACCTGATTCAGAACAACCACGTTTCTTTTAACTTAATTGATCTGGTTGATATTTTGTAACACACGAGACCAACTGAGCGATAAATATGAGAGTTAATCTTGTTTTGTTAGCAAACTAATTTAAATTACAACAACTATGTCATGTGTTTTGTGAATGAAAGTGTAATGGCACAGGGATTGTAGCAGCTTTTAGGGATGACAGATTAGAGACAGGCTATTCGTTTTACCCGCCCACCAATCAATCAACGGCTTGCTTCTTGCTACACCAGGTTTCACAGAGTGGGGGGTGGAACACAGGAGAGTGGAGAACCTCGTCTATTCAGCCAGTACAACAATCCCCTTTAACGACCCACCTTTAAGACACCTGGGCTACGTTCACCCTGCAGACTGAAGTGACCCAAATCAGATTTTTTTTGCCCATATGCATCTGATCTTTTCATGACAGTCTGAACAAAACCGATCCGATTTTTTTCCTATGCAACCCAGGCCACTTGGTCTGATCTTTTCAAATGCAGCCTGTCTCTGAACAGCCATGTCGTGTTCATCCGCCCTGAACGCCATAAGTAACCGACAAAGGTCACTATTCTGCTTCTTCCTACACAGCAGCGGCAAGACAAACAAACATCATGGTGGACGATGATGTGGAGAGCAGTATTTTTTTAACCATCTTGAAAAGATTGATGTTTTAAGGTTTGGAAAGATCGCTAGATGTGCTCCAGCACTACATCCATGTTTACTCCGGTAAACACGAAGCACGCTGGCTTGTGTTGTCACTGCGTCTTCTACTGCACATGCGGGACACTTAAGCTGTTTGAATGTTGTTTACACAGGGGATCACATACAAGTGGCATATATTTGGAAATGTAAACAACAACGCAAAAAAAAATCGGAATTGAGTATCAAGGCCTGCAGTGTAAACGTAACCTTAGATAGGTATGGTGTATTGCAGTCTAACAAAAGAAGCCAAATGGCCGCATTCCAAACTAGTTGACCCCTTCGTCTGTTACAATTTGCATGTTTTCAAAACAAAAACAAGGCTTTGTTGGGCTACTGTATAAAACCTCGAACTCAACACTATTCCTGACATTTTGAATTGAAAAAGCTTCCTGGATGGGAAGCGAAACGTCTTAAAACTCGGAAACCAAGTCCAGTGGATTGCTTTTAATTTTTTTGGAATGGCATCCCACCTCAAACGTGTAATGGCACAGGGATTATAGCACCTTTTTGTGATGACTGATTAAAGACAGACTATTCAAACTCATGCCTCTGCTGTGATTTTAAACAATTTATTCACACTAACTCCTCAAAAGTTGAGTTGTTGCAATCTCTTTCTCTGACTCTAATCTGTTGTTTTTAAATAGTTTGTCAATTGGATTAAAAGTAGCTGACTGAGTGAGTGAGTCAGCCCAACAGGTTTATTTTGTGTTTGGGGTTGCTTTAAAGTTGAATACTCCTCCATTGCTTTTGTCTTCAGATTAGGATGTTAGGGCTGTTTGATATATTTTAAACATCTATCACAGGGTTCCCGCAGATCCTTAATAACTCTTAAAAGGCATTGAATTCTTCCATATAAAGTCAAGGCCTTAATTGGTATTAAAATGTCTTAAATCAGTCTTTCATTGGTCTTAAAATTGTTACCACATCATAAAAAGGATTTTATTTTTGTAATCCATGTCAAACAAAATAATTGACAATATTTTTCTCACATTTACCAAACCGCTTGCTGTAACCATTATTGGTTCTGTCCGATAGCGGAACCAATAAAAAAAGATGTTGCAGCCAGACCTTGGGGTGATGTGCCACTAACTTTTTATCTGGACGACATGGGGAAGTTTTATATTCAATGAAAAATAGACTATCCATCCAAGAGTTTTCTGCATGGCTAAAACCACTACCAGGGAATGTAGATGAAGCACAATGGGAATCAAGGCAGTGGAGATGCATGTACGAAGCATGAAGCGTCAAAATCAAGTTATGGAGAAGCAGCAGGTATTTCTCCATTCTGTTCCATCCTTGTCTCTGCAACGCCTCCACAGCATCTCTCACATCACCAACAGCGACAGTAGAACCAAATCTCAGGAAAATGTTTGGCGGCATGCCATGAATGAAAGTAGAGGGATTGAGTAGGGAACAGAACAAAGTTAGAGAATTCAGTTCAGTAGTTGTTGAAAATATATCTGTTATTTGTTTGTTTTAAGCTTTCTTCCTATATGGCTTTTTTTTAAACGTATCTACTGGACCAGAAAGTAATGGTTTATGTTAAAATAAACATTTGGGGTAAATTTTTCTTGTGTTTATTGTCAAGTTGGTCTTAAATTTTTATTTTAAGAGGCATTAAAAAGTCTTGAATTTAACTTGCCTTATGCTGTAGGAACCCTGTATCAGTATCTTTCATATCAGTCGATGTTGATAATCATCAGTTAGTGTTTTGTTTACATGTTTGGCATGTGAACGATAAGAATTAAATGTGTAAACCTTATTTTTTTCTTTAATAAGAGGTCAGACCTACCACCAATCTTATTTGGCCTTTAGAGTTTGAGAG